GGAGAGTCACATGGCGCCAAACGTCAGCGCCACAACCGGGAAAAGGTTCCTGGAAAAAAAAAAAGCGGCGGGATGGGGGGGCGGGGCGGGGAGCGCGATCCGAGCGAGAAAGAAAGAGACCCGGGGGCAAAACGGGAGCCTCATTCCGGGCATAAAAAGCCCCGCTGGGCACCTTGGGGTGGGGGTGGGGGGGACGGGCGTCCTCGGGAACTCCCCTTCCTCTGCCCGATCCCGCCCCCCTGCCAACCGGACTGTGTCCGGGCTGCTTCCCCGCTTCAGACTCTCCTTCGCCTTTCCCCTCGGACGGGCGGGGAGTTGTTATTTCCCCCCCCTTCTTAAACCGGGGGGGGCGCGAGAGAAAGCGCTTCGGGAATAAAAGCAGAGATCCCAACTCCGCCGTTGCCGCCGGCAGGTCCCCCAAGCGTGAGAAAACTCTGCGAGCGCTGCGCAGACTCGAGCCAAAGAGGAACGGGGGGGGGGGGGAGGACGGGGGACCCGAAGAAATTCTCGCCCATCCTTTTATGCGCTGGGAAGCAGAGCCATGAAAACGGCTCGGGGGTTTCGCCCGGCCAGGTCTGCAGCAGAAGGCGGGTTGGTTGGGTCAACCCAGCCGAGACTTCGCGAACTGTAATCCCGAGGTTTGTCAACCGGGAGCTCCGTCCCCTTGTGCTCCGCGGGGGCCTGCTTTCGGCCGAGGAGGTAGTAGTAGAAGCGGTGGATGCGCCAACACTGGAAGTTTTTAAGAAGAAACTGGACAACCATTTGTCCGAAATGGTATAGGGTTTCCTGCCTCAGCAGGAGGTTGGACTAGATGACCTCCGAGGTCCCTTCCAACTTTATTATTATTATTATTATTATTATTATTATTATTATTATTATTATTATTATTATCCTCATCCTTATCATTATTATTATTATTATTATTATTATTATTATTATTATTATTATTATCCTCATCCTCATCCTCATCCTCATCCTCATCATCATCATCATCATCATCATCATTATTATTATTATTATTATTATTATTATTATTATTATTATTATTATTATTATTATTATTATTATTATTAGGGTCTCTTTGAGGTTTAGCTCTGTTCTCCAGCCTGGACCTTTTCCCAGGACTATCTCCGCTCAGACCACCCGAGGACACGATCCCTCGTGGGGACAAGCAGGCTGTCCTTGAAGCCCGGCTCCGTCGTTGGCAGCGTAGTAAATACACCGAGCCTTTCCCCGCTCCGTCCAGATTAAAACAGGGAACTGTTCACTGAAAGGCGAAGTGGTTGAGAAATAGAACATGCCTGAAGCCGGCGGAGTTTTTTTTTTTTTTAAATGATTGGATAATAATCATTTAAACAGAGACGAGCCAACTTCCAGTGTTTCTCAACCTTGGCAACTTGAAGAGGTATGGACTTCAACTCCCAGAATTCCCCAGCCAGCACAGCTGGCTGGGGAATTCTGGGAGTTGAAGTCCATACCTCTTCAAGTTGCCAAGGTTGAGAAACACTGAATTGTTTCTGCTTTATGCCTCCCTTTTCCCCACCCCCAAACCCTCCGTTGGGAACAAATTAATTGGATAGAAGAATGAAAGGGCCGCGCAATTCCCATCCTAACAGCGCAGCGCGCTTACTCTCCCCAGAAGTCAGGTTTTATCCCGAATCCTTCGGCAGTTCGAATCCTTCAGCAGTTCGACGCTCTGCGGCTGAAGACGGTCGCCGGGAGGTCTGAAAGGCGAGGGGAAGGCCGGGGGGGCTTCTGTGTCTCTGTCGCCGAAGCGCCGCCAGGCGGAGCGACCTACTTGCCGAGCTCCGCCGCCTCTTCGCTGACCCGCATTGTGAGAGCGCCCTTTCGCTGGGACTCGGGGCCCGCGGGCTGGTTTGCTTCTTGCTCTCTCGGTGAATGGGTAGTTTATCCAATGGACCTACTTAAAAAGCGCCCGGATTATTTAGGCGGTGAATTAAAAACGTGTGGAACGTGTAGAAGTGTTGTGTATACCGTGTGTGTGTGTGAAAAAGAGCTAATAAAGGCCAAAGGAGGCCAAAACATTTATTTCTTTTTGTTCGTTATTATAGCGTGTGTGTGCACGTGTGTGTGTGTGTGTGTGTGTGTGTGTATGGGTGGATGTAGAGCCTGCCCCTGTGTGTCTGTGTGTAATTAAGGAACACTCGACCAGATCCAGAGCAGATTTATTTGGAAATGATTTCATGCTTTTACAACTTCTCTTTCCCATTTCTCCCGTGTGTATATATATGTACTTACGCCATCTATGAAATCATTGAACTACAGGTCATTAAATAAAAATAAGCATTTGAGACTGGGTGACCGGAGAAATCACTCTTGCCATTTTAAAAAAGAAAAATAAATCCCATTTTCTCTAATAGTTTTCTAAATAAGAATGTCCCCGATGAAATTACACCAATAAGATCCCTGCCAGTATAATTGCCCTGCTTCTTACAGTATAAACAAGGATTTCGAAATTAAGGAACGTGCAACACTTATGCTTTGATCTTAAATATATTAGAAAGAAAATTCTAATTCTAATAATGTATTTTAATTACATATTTAATACTTTATTTAACTCAATTTAGTCCAATTGGTAGATAAAAATTAATCTGGTTCATAGACATACAATAATTATATTAATTAACTATATCCATTAATATGCCTAAAAATAAGGCAACTTGTACATTAATAATGCTTCTTTACCCTGTTTGGAAGTCAAACAAATTTATTTTCTTGGGATTTACTCCCAAATAGATGTATAAGAAATTGCAGCCTAAGGGTAATTCCATTTAGTTCAATATATTTCTAAATTGCTCTAGTAAACTATACTACCATGAATTATTTTTTTATGTAGCCAAGCCTTAAAGATTGGACTAAATAACAAAAAGCAAGGGATCTTGTTAAAAACCAGTGGGCACACAAATTCCCTCCATAGTTTCTCCATAGATAGCAAGTTCTATCACTTAACTTTTGAACAAGGAACCTACCCTCCCAGGAACCGCAGTTAGGACCAAAAATGAATAAGGGTTTGGAAAATTTTGTTAGAAGTCAGAAAACTACGTTGATTTATTGCTTATTTAAATTTTTGAAGTTTTTGATAATGCCAGACTGTACTATCATGTGCACTGTTTTAAATTATATTTCTTTCAGTTTTCTTCTATTTCAGAAAATTTTAGGTTGGAGTTTAGTTATACGGGAAATGTTTGTATCTGGGCATATTTCCCCAGAAATAAGACTTAATTTCTAAGGAATTGCATATATCTTTTTTTTTTTTGGCTGAATAATATGCCTAAATGGGGGAAATTTCCAGAGAGATCAGGTATTTAGTCGGCTTTGGGAAAGAGAGAGGGGGCAGATATACAACATTTATTAAATCTACGTGGCTCAGGTGGATCACTTCCATCAGATGCACAGCGGACTGGAGGTGTCAGACCTGTTAATTCTGACTGGGAAGCGCTGTTCCTAGGTTGTGGTCACCCGGAAAGGACCAAAAATGTAACTAATCGCCGCTTTTATTCGGTAACGAGAGAAACGGAGATCCTGTGAGACGCCGGAAGGCTGGATTCGTTAGAATTTATATATATAGCCGTCCAACATTCCCGTTTCAGTCCGTTGCCATTCCTCTCTTCGACGGTTGGGGTGGGGTGGGGGATTAATGCCTGAGTATTCTGGTCATAAAATAAGGCTTTATTTAAGTGGAACCCGTGGAAAAGGAAGAAGCGGGAGAAGCGGTCGATTCTGATTGAGTGTATTGGAGTGACACGCGTGTTAGAAAGCCAGACAATCTTCTGACCCGGACGCCGGCTTTCTCCGAGCCAGGCTGCGGCAGTCAGAGAGAAGAAGCGCCTCAGGAGGAGAGCCACGACTGAAAAATTCCCCGGCCGTCGTCGGCCCAACCCTGGAGACAGAAGGGACTGCTTAGGGCAGACCTGAAACCAGTTGCCCAAGTCGGCTGTCTGCAGATCTAAGCATGGTTAACTGCCCCTTCCTCCGGACAGCTGTGAATCGCCCTGCGGGACGAACAGAAGCTCCCAAGTTGCGTCCCCCCCCCGGGGGGGGGGCAATGGGGAGGAAGGATCCCCTCTCCCCAGTGAACGACGGCCGCACTCTTCAGATGCTCACCGCGGAACAACGGGGCGCTCTCAGTCCCATCGTCTGGCGAGGGAAAGGTAGCCGTGGAGCAACCTTCTGGTGTCGTGCACGCCTCCGCTAGTCTTCGGGCAGCAAACACCTTCAACCAGGCCGGTCGAACGACTGGGCTCACTGGGCATTGTGCGGGCTGCAGCCTAGCTTCCTGGAGGGCGCCCGATTGCAGAAGGCCGTGGAGGTGGCTGCCTCCTAGGCCAGTGTTTCTCAACCTTGACAATTTTAAGGCATGTGGACTTCAACTCCCAGAATTCCACAGCCAGCAATGCTGGCTGTGGAATTCTGGGAGTTGAAGTCCACATGCCTTAAAATTGTCAAGGTTGAGAAACACTGGCCTAGGCGGCTGCTTCCTCCTCTGTGCCAGGGAGTCGCCGGAGTGACTTCGTAGGGGAAGGACGCCACCTAGCGGCCACCCGATCAGAAGCTTGCAGGGCATCAGACACTCTTTATTTTAAGCTGGCTG